CAGCAGAACGATGAGGAAACATGTTCGCTGAACTGTGAATGCTATTTCATTTTTGTTTTCCTGCGCTGCAAAGAAAACAAGGCGTAGAGCAGGCTTAACTTTTTGCAGATGTGTTTTGTTATTGTGCTATTGTATAGAGAAATAACTGGAAAACCCCTCTCTGATCCTTATTCCTACAGATATGCTGCAATACATAAAGCAGACCTTTCAGTGTTTCACCATTACGATGCGTCTAATAGGTGTCTCGGAATTACATAGTGTTTGGTCTTATATGCTGCTTGTCCCAGTGTTTTACATAACTCGGGGGTACCGTATTGAGGATTCCATGGCGTAGAATCTTACGGTTTTGTAAGGTTTTTGAAATGATATAAGCATCTAGCAAGGGAAGGATACTAACTTAGATTTGCCTTTTGAGATAAGACACATGTATCTGTAATCATCATTGAACGCTGATTCCAAGCATGCTTTTCCTAGCTGCTTAGCGTTATACCAAAGTGAGTTAAGGGCTTACTGTTGTGAGTAAATAACAAACTTCCGTATGCCATAAGACGGCATGTAGATTAGAATCTGGTCGAAAGAAGTGCTAGGGTGTTAAACTAACAACAAAATTCTTTCGATCTTGTTAGGGAGCATTATACAATTGCAAAACCACCTAGATGTCGACACCGTAGCATCAGTAGGTCGAGGAGCGCGCAAACTTTGCATAGAAAAGAGACCATAACTCGCTTTAGAATAAAGCTAAGCAGCTAGAAACAGCGTATTTGGGATGAGCGTTCCAAGCTGATTCTACATATATGTGTACCATCTCAAAATGCGTTAACTTAGTTTCCTTCCCTTGTAAGTACATCAGCAGTAATTTACAGATGCCTAGCATAAGAAATCAAACAAAAGGTAGTATAGAGTGCAGTGTTTGCGTTCGCTACACAATAATTATGTCTATTATTTTGACAACAAGTTTTCAGGGTTTTGGAGCCTTTGCTCAACTTCTGCTCACACATCGGTGACAAATCCGCTCATTTTCTTTATTTCATATCTCATGTTCCATGGAAAGGATGGAAGAATGCGGATATGAACGATCATGGAGTGCCGTTATAAAATATGAAGGAAATCACATTTTTTCAAGTGTTTTGAATTCTTCCCTAAGCTGCCGAAATTTTATAATGAGACATCCGACCGAATTACATTCCTCGAACTTTTTTGAAAATTCGACTTAATCATCTTCCTCTCGTTCACGATGTTAATGGGAGAAGTTTTCGGAATCGTACAATTTGTGTGTCGTCCCATTATTCCTTTCAACTAACAGTTTCTTCTTTTTTAGACTCTTCTCCACACATAAGAATTAGTCTCCTGTACTCTGGAGGTACATTGTTTACGTATACATGTAACTGCAGCATTTCTCTTCTTTTCAGTAATGTCGACATTTTCTTCCTAACATCTCTAAGTTATTAGGTTGATGCAAGAGTAATGGCCCTAGGGTTCTTGAAGCTAAAAGTGACTTTTCTTAAGAATCAATGAAGATTCCAGGTTGAAACTTCACAGTCATGCTTCGGTGGCTTTGTGATATACAATAGCTGAACTGTAGGAAAGGGGCAGAGTTAGAGGCGGAGTTTGCCGATTTTCGATTTTCATTTTTTCTTAAATTCTAAGTGAGAGAAAATCATGGAAACTGCATAAGTGAACGCTACTATGTGTCTACTATGTGATGACCAATAGGGAGGCTTGTATTTCTCCGGGCAAAGATCTGATTTCCGTGCTGGCCAAATGCTCACAGATTTGCCATCAAACTTTACGTAGACCAAATGTTTGGATAGTTACTTGGTAGTCACTTTGTAGAGCTTGCTTCGCTCTATCGAATGGTACCTCATTCGTGAATTTCTTGATCACATGCTGTGGTAGCGTACGCTACGGCCATTATTTTTGCATCCTAATGCATTATATGATAATTTTGAATCTTTTCTTTGACTGTGATTGCATGACAGCGTTTACCGCAATACCCTTGTGCGAGGGCCGTCTTAGCAACACAGTTTCTAAAATTCTCCCACTTTCCAACATTTCTATGGGCGACTAAATCGAATCGAGCGGTGATGCAAAATCATCAGAATTACCTATAGCAATAATTCTAAACTAAATGAGAGAAGTTTGAAGGTGTCGTTCAAGAGTGGGCGCTCATTTGAAAGAAAAGCAGCGAAAAATTTCATTTCCAATTTGAAAACTTGTCCAACATGTACTGTAAAATTCTGTTTTCCTTCAATTTGTCCTGAGATTTCTATATGCCCTTTATATCATGGCGTCAAATTCTCAAAATTAAGAGATTTTTATTCAAAAGTCTGCATTGTGGAATAGCATCTAAGTTTTCAATCGAACCTTGTTTTTACCGTCATCTTTCCCAGTTGTCAAATTAGAAATCATTCAATACCGCTCGTATTTTTTGAAAAAAAAAATGCCACGACCGATACATGTGACATCATCGTAGCGTGGCCATATCTTGCTGCAGAGTGGACGAATTCTTAATCCAAGGGCACCATTCGACTCAGCTCGGCGCGGCGCATCTTCTGATATATAGAAGTGCCCGCTTGGTCATATTAAAAGGTCATATTCCACAAATCGTTTCAAATCTTCGCTTACGGTAGGCTGTCTAGTGAGCGCAAGCAGGGCTCGGCACGAGCTGGCACCAGGGAAATTCCAAAACGAAGGTTTGATCTTGAAAATTTCGTACGAAGTCCCCTTTGACCAGTCATAAAGACCCGTCGTTTTAGATTATGTAAAAGCATGTAGTACGGTTTTTATGCATGCTGAATTCATGGAACAACCATTCACAGCTTTCTGTGGTTTTTAAGTGGTTCAATCACATGTTGAGAAGCAGAAAAAGCCGCTTTTTCGACTGCGGAGCAGATCGAGCAATTTTCAGATGGCTATGAAACTCTGAAAAAAAAACATTTTGAAGTTGTTTCTTCTCTGTATGTAATTTTCGGTGTAGATACTTTAACATAAAAAAGAATGGAAACTTATGTGAGCAAAGTGTCGGTGCCAGCTCAGCTGGCACCCAGCTGGTACGGTGCCAGCTAATTCAGAAAAGTTCAGCACAGCTTTCGTTCACATAAGTTGTCATAAATTTTTGGGCCATAGTTCCCCAACGCACATGCACACACCAAATTTGGTGTCATACTATTGCGTTTTGACTGAAAACAGAGCCTTTGTTTGTTTGATGGACAGCATGCCGGTGGCATGCCGATGGCATTCTTGCGGCTCTTCTCCGCCCCGGACCCCGGAAAAACGATATACCCTTTGCTTTCGCCCTAAAAACCATATCCAGCTTGACCAGGTGCCAGCTGTGCTGAGCCCTGAGCGCAAGGAATAAGCACACTGAGTAACTTGCCGCAAACAGAAGTCCGAAACTTCGTGGGATCTGACCTCCTACTGTGTCCAAACAGAGATTCTATAAATTAAAACATGCGCCGCACCGAGCTGAGTCGAATGGATTTCTTGGTTTAATAATTCGTCCACTTTGAAGCCAGATATGGCCATGCTACGGTGTTGTCACATGAATCGGGCGACTGCGCGTCTTTTTTTTTCAAAAAATCCTAGCAGTATTGTAACCATCTTGCCGGCAAGGTGAGGGTTATACTTCACAGTCCTCTGTTATGGCTCTTCTTTCGTGCTTATTCCCCTCTCTTTCTCATACCCCAATGCTTTACAATAATCATGTCTCATCTTTCTCGCTAGCTTTGCATTGGTCTTTTCTTAGCCAAGCTTTTCGCCTTTAACAGAACAGTCTCTATCAAACTATCTCAAAAATTTGCATTCCAGGGATATGACATGGATTAGAGCACTGCAGGTGCTGGCCGTTGTAACAACGGTACAGGCATCGCTCAAAACTTACGATGAGAACTTCGTGCTACAATTCATAAATCGCTCCCAAACGCTTGATATCAGCGACAAATGCAAAGAAAGTCTGGGAAGGGTTCGTTTGCCTAGATCCGTTACAAAATAATTGCAAAATTGACTGCAAGAATTTTTCTTGTCAGCCCATATGTGCACGAACGGTGCATTAAAATCATATTTTTCACTCAATAATTATAGGTGCACTCTTACCTGCTGCATCACGACACCCTTGAAACACAAAAAATCTTTTATTTTGAGTCATTTGGAACAGGTTCGTTCATTTGTTTACTATAGCTGGGACAGTAAATGGTCATGTGGAATGAAAATTTGCGTTATCATGTTGGAGAATGTTAATTGGAAGCAAAGATCACCTTTAGATGCAAGTCATTCGAGTTCCATGAGATGACGGTCTTTCTACCAACACCATTGTTAATTGTCATAGAAAGTTGCCTTGGAATGATGTGCCACTTGTGGAGTCCGTAATGCGAGGAAACCGTGAATTTAGATTCATAGATCTTCCATTACTGAGAAAATTCAAACTAGTTTACTAAATCAACAATATTGCATTGTTGGATTACACAATCTAGTGTGTGAATCTAAATCGAAGTGCTCTAGAATATTGTAGATAAGTCTGCTTCTGTAGAAGCTTGATTTTATAGAAGTCACATAGTTTTTGCAAAATGCAAAAAGATAGAGTTTTCAGGCAAACCTCTCGAAAAGTTTTTCCGATTGTGTAGATCTGTTGACCAAACCTTGTTCTCATACATACAAAACATACAATCTTTTTGATTTCAATCTCCGCCTCTAACCTCCAAAACACCGCTGAAGTGGCCCTTGCTCTTCATCAAGTTTTGTGTAGTAAGAGTCGTGCACTGTAAAATTTTCATTCTTCTTTTCGACCGATACCTAGCAAGCCCTACATTCTTCAATTTTAGAGAGCAAAAAGAAGACATGAATTTGAGCACTAGCAAACCTTTTTTTTGAGTGCGGACTTGTCTATACATGATGATTAAGATATTCAGAGAAAATATTTTAGATTAAATAATAAATAAATTAATAAAGTCGACACAAAAGACATTGAAAATTTTGCGGCGATTGGATGATATAAGAGCTGGTAGGTCCTTCAAATCTGTTCCTCTCGCGTGACCAGGAACGGTGGATGTATCGACAATACGAATGTATCATAGCTGCTGGAGAGACTGTATACTCGAAGGTAGAGCAGTCTAGAACCATTGAATTCGAGAGATTCATGACTTCAAACATACTAATTCTTTTAGAGTGAGTATCCTATGCATTTTTGCTATTCCCATGAGGATAAGGATAGTCCAGTAGAAGCATATGGCGTATGCATACCGTCTCCTTGTGCGGAGAACCATGTCGAGGTAGAAACTATGGTACCTTAGAACATTCTATGGTTGAGACTTAAACATCTAGCTGCTGAAAGAATGGAGAACGATGACAAGATCGGAAGAAGCCAAGCTTCCCATGGAATCCACAGCTTGTACAGGATCACGGCATGAGAAGCAATGGTGAGCGTTGGGAGATTTAAATAAAATCAGCGTAAATGGATTTGAAATTTCACGAATTAGGTTCTTGCTTGAATCGTGCACGAAAACGTATCAAAATTTTCTTTTTCACCACGACGAGTTTGTTTGATTTGATACATCATAGGGAGAAAATCTAGAGCATTCCAGAAATGATAAGCATAGGCAAAATTCTTTAGACGGTAATGTAACAAATTGATTAAGAGGGCTCGAAAAGTCGTTTTTTAGTTGCTAAAAATGCTGGAACGTCCACAGACAAGTGATATTTATCATCTCAGTTCCGTGATCTGCCCTTTTTGACTGTAAGAATTATAGTGACCAGTGGCCGTATTCATCAACGAACCTTGAGGTTAAAATCTACCTTGAGAGCATGCCCCAAGGTAGAATTTAACCTCAAGGTAACTTTGCTATTCACAAACTTACCTTAAGGTTAAAATCTACCTGGTGGTCAGCTGAATGCTCACTGACGCTTATACAGAGCATGCCATGACGTATTAGCGGTATATGCAGTCCCTCGCTGTTTGTGAATGTTTTAACTGTCAAATCAGTACAATTACATACTATAGAGCTAATGGTCGTGTTTTAGCAGGAAAGCATTCTAGAGACCCGTCGTACTTCGCTCATAAGCGCGGGAAAGCTCCAGAAATCCCAGAACGCTTCCATTTGCGCAATTCCTAAGAACCACTCATACTTCGCCCAACAGCGTTCAAAAGCGCTCAAAGGCGCCCAAGCGCCAGAATGCTTCTTTTACGAGCCTGACCTTTGCGCTGAAGCGTTAGTTTTGGCAACTTTTATTAGAACAACTAAATTCAGTTACATTTGTCATGAAACATGTTCCGATTAAATATTTTGGCTCAAGCTATTAGGTTGTCCGGAAAATAATGCTCGTTTTGAATTTCAACCGCAGTAAGTCATACACTCCTCACTTCTGAATAGGTTGCAAAGTACCGTTCGATAGAGCAAAGCAAGCTCTACAAGATGGCCTTCTTGCCTTTGCAACAGCTCTCACCCACCTCGAGTCTCGAGCAAAAGACTCAAAGCCCGAAAAATCGAAAAAAATCGTAACTTAGTTTATAAAATTCCTATAAAATTCTTACTTGCTCACGTAAACACTATCCACATAAAACATCTATATACGCCTTTGCCGCATTTTTTTCTCTGTTAGAAATCAAGAAAACGGAAATTTTCATGCATTTGCCAAAGTGATGCTGTGCCGTTCCCACATAGGTAGTCGTATACTATAAAGCTGTAGAAGTACAAACGTAAATTCTCAGCTCTCTACAAGCTTTAGTTCTCGAGAAATTCGAATTTTAGCTTGGACCACCTAGCTAGGGAAAGCTATATTCGGTATTTCTCGAGAACTAAAGCTTGCAGAGAGCTGAAAATTTAAGTCTGCACCTCTACGGGCTTGTGGTGTATAGCTACCTATGCGGGGATGGCTCAGCATCACTTTGGCAAATGCACGAAAATTTCCGTGTTCTTGGTTTCTAACAGAGAAAAAATGCGGCAAAGGTGTATATAGATGTTTTATGTGGGTAGTGTTTACGTGAGCAAGTAAGAATTTTTGTAGGATTTCTATGAGCTGAGTTACGATTTTTTTCGATTTTTCGGGCTGTTGAGTCTTTTGCTCGAGACTCGAGATGGGTAAGAGCTGTTGCAAAAGCCAGAAGGCTATCTTGTAGAGCTTGCTTTGCTCTATCGAATGGTACTTTGCAACCAGGGTAAAGCGGGGGGTGCGGCACGCCGCAGAGGGGGGGGGGGTCGTATTGAGGAGTCAAAAGGGGAGGGGGTCGTAGTTAGGTGATCTGATTATAGCGATAACATGATATTCGTATCATATCCATAATTAGCACGTTAATTAACCCCTGTAGACAAAGTGTGAGCGAATTCTGAAGATTCAAGATATTAGGCTACCTAAGTGAAATGGTCAAATTCCAACATGGTTAACTTTGTTTTAAAGGTGAATTAGCTATCCGTTTTTGCACTCAAGACAAAGCACTACTCCTTCTTTGTCCACCTCAGGAATCCCGCTTCAGAAGACCTCCAAACTGTGGAATTAGAAGCCAACCAAAATCTCATTTTTCCCATTTTTCGCTTTTGATGGCTGTGCTTTCACCAAATATTACTCAGAGCTAAGAAGACGAATCAGGCTCAAAACATCCCTATGGAATCTACGAGGTTTAGGCTATCGATTCATATAAATATTGTCCGCTAAAAATGTTTTTTTGATATAGTTAATGGCCTGCGGCACCCCCCCCCCCCTCAAAACCTGCGGCTGCCGCAGGGGTGCCGCAAGGGTGCCGCAGGCCATTAACTATATCAAAAAAACATTTTTAGCGGACAATATTTATATGAATCGATAGTCTAAACCTCGTAGATTCCATAGGGATGTTTTGAGCCTGATTCGTCTTCTTAGCTCTGAGTAATATTTGGTGAAAGCACAGCCATCAAAAGCGAAAAATGGGAAAAATGAGATTTTGGTTGGCTTCTAATTCCACAGTTTGGAGGTCTTCTGAAGCGGGATTCCTGAGGTGGACAAAGAAGGAGTAGTGCTTTGTCTTGAGTGCAAAAACGGATAGCTAATTCACCTTTAAAACAAAGTTAACCATGTTGGAATTTGACCATTTCACTTAGGTAGCCTAATATCTTGAATCTTCAGAATTCGCTCACACTTTGTCTACAGGGGGTATTTGACATGCTAATTATGGATATGTTGTCCATTATGTTTGACAGAGCCTTCAGGTAATACTATCTTAAGTGTATAGTTTAGGAGGGGGGTCTTATTAAGACAGCAATCAGGGGGGGGGGGGTCGTATCCGACGGTCGAGTGCCGCACCCCCCGCTTTACCCTGTTTGCAACCTATTCAGAAATGAGAAGTGTATGACTTATTGCCGTTGAAATTCAAAACGGGCATTAATTTCCGGACAACCTAATAAATTAAAAGTGTTCTTGCTTTGTAAACACAGCCAACGCTATTTGCATGACTTTCATTTTCAAGTTAGTAGTCTTTCGACCGCTATAAGAATAGATAGCTGTACAAATTACTTCGATACATCATTCATAATTGCTGCTCGGACTCAAAAACTTTCTAAAATGCCTTGTTGAGAAAACTTGTAAATTCATTGAACCTTGGCTTGATGTCATCACTGCGATTCTTGATCTACGTTTTCGAGAGATGACGATTCCTTTTCCGCAATTCAAAATGATTGTAGCGTTGGCTGGTGTTTGTAGAAACGTTTGCTGAAAGTTGCGTTTTGGACCTTTTGGGCTCACGGGTTCTGGGTGCTTTCGAGCGCTTTTGCGCGGAGCATGACACGTCCCTATAGGACTAAGGAATTATCTTCATAATTGAGCTTGTCAACTGAATTTTATCAGATACAAGCCTACGCTCCTTGACTATCAGAGTGTGAGTAGATCTAAATTGGAGCTGCACTATATAAACCACAAATCAACCTACAAGTCAACTCTGTTGACAACCGACGTATGTGTGCCTCTGCGCGCGAAAGACCTTGCTTTTAGCCGTCGCAAGAATGGAATTACGATTTGAAAGAACATGCATTGGAACTGCTCTATAGTTATGCGGCCTTTGTAGTCATTATTTGCGCCAGTAATTGTTTGCACGCATCAGCTGCAAAACAATGGCCCGTAGTAAACCCCACTTCACTTCAGATGATCTCAGCTGAAGGCCTCAGTTAAGGTTTTTGAGATAAACTGACCGGCGAACACTCTCACATGCCTAAGAATGCGACCTATTCTGACGAGTGAGCGTCAGGGCAGGTGCAGCTGATTTCATCTGATTTCCGTAAAAGCATCGGCGATTTTGAGATGAATTGAACGAAATAGTGTGCAAGGGATGAGACGTGGAGAAAAATCCCTTAAGTGCTTGTGATAACTTACGAGATACGTAATCTATATATATATATCTTATATATAAAGCTGAATGTCTGTTTGTATGTCTGTATGTCTGTCTGTATGTCTGTCTGTATGTCTGTATGTACGTATGTTCCGAATAGAAAATTCCATTTCTGAACCGATCGGGACCAAACTTGGCACACATACACTTTGGGCCCCGGCGGGTGTCATAGGCTACTTTTCGTCATCGATCGATATCGATTTTATCGATTTTTATCGATTTTTTTGCTGAGTTCACCTACGGGGCTGGGAGTTGGCACAGGGGGGTAATCGAGCATGGGGATTCCGAATACAATATTGGTTTTCAGGATTATCGATTACTTTTATCGATTTTATCGATTTTTTTGCAAAGTTTGAGCTACGGGGGTGGGAGTTGGCACAGGGGGGTAATCGAGCATGGGGATTCCGAATACAATATTGGTTTTCAGGATTATCGATTACTTTTATCGATTTTATCGATTTTTTTGCAAAGTTTGAGCTACGGGGCTGAGAGTTCGCAAAGGGGGGTAGTCGAGCATGGGGATTCCGAATACAATATTGGTTTTCGGGATTATCGGTTACTTTTATCGATTTTATCGATTTTTTTGCAAAGTTTGAGCTAGGGGGCTGGGAGTTGGCGCAGGGGGGTAATCGAGCATGCTGATCATCCCCAAGGGGGGTGATCAGCATGCTCGATTACACCCCTGTGCCAAATTCCAGCCCCCTAGCTCAAATTTTCAAAAAATCGATAAAATCGATAAAAGTAATGGACGATCTTGAAAACTAATATTGTATTCGTAATCTGCATGCTCGATTACTCCCCTGTGCAAACTCCCAGCCCCGCAGGTCAAACTTTACAAAAAAATCGATAAAATCGATAAAAGTAATGGACGATCCTGAAAACTAATATTGTGTTCGTAATCAGCATGCTCGATTACCCCCCTGTGCAAACTCCCAGCCCCGCAGGTCAAAATTTACAAAAAAATCGATAAAATCAATAAAAGTAATCGATAATTCTGAAAACTAATATTGTGTTCGGAATCCCCATGCTCACTTCCCCCCTGTGCCAACTCCTAGCCCTGTAGGTGAACTC